TTTTTTTTTTGCTATTTGGCAGATGTATATTCAGTTCCGAACGGAACTGATACATCATCAAGGATGCAACAACAACAACAACAACAAAATGAAAGCAAAATAACCACCAATATCACAACAACAACAACAACATTCCAAACCTAATTGAAATGAATATACTATGTTGATGTTGATGATAATGATTGTGTGTAAATTGATGACATTGCCGACAGAGCTGTTGTTTAGTTATGGTCGATGTACCATTTAGAAATTTTTTTTTACATCGTCGTTTGTATCCTATTTTTTCGATGATAAAGTTTATTTTTCATTTTTCACTCACACTTTCTATGATTCATCATCATGAACAATTTTTCATATGTGTAGAAAACCAAAAAAAAAAAAAAAAATGAAACATTTGGAATCCACTGGTTTACCAGATACATTTGCGGTTCATTTACATTTTATACATTTCATCATCATCATTGCATGATGGAATGTTTTTCAATGATTTTGTTGTTGTTATTGTTGTTGTTCTACCCGGACAACCAGAAACTAGAAAAAAAAAAAAATTGAAACCTAATTAAAATAGATAAAATTACAGGTAGATTATGGTTCCATACTACTACTGATCTTGTACACCTTGTATATATATTTATATACAACACAAATGTCATTCATATATTTATTTTGTTTTTGTTCATCATCATCATGTGGATGTTGTTGTTGTTGTTTTTTTGTTTTAGATTATGACACATTCCATACACACGCAAACACATATCATTATTTCATTTTTTATTTTTATATAGAAATCATCATCATCATCATCATCGTTAAACGGTTGTTGATTGTGTGTGTGTTTGTGTCTGTGTATTTTTAATTTCAAGTTTGATGAGTCAGGCCATTGAAATTAAAATGGTAAAGCCAGCCATTTTTTCTTTTTTATTTCTCACTAGTACTTTTTTTCAATTTTTTTTTCTTGATTCCATAAATATCCGATTGATTATGAAAAAGGTATATGTTTGTGTGTGTGTGTGTGTGTGCGTGTGTGTATAAAAGAAAATATTAATGTGATTTCTACACAAAAATGTAACCTCGACCATGTAGATGTGTGTGTTTGTGCCTTTTTTTCTACACACACACACACACAAAAAAAGATTTCTACAATACCGTTAATGGATTTTTTTTCCAGGATTCATATGATTAGATAAGTGTTTGTGTGTGTGTGTGTGTGTGTGTGGTTTTATTGAATGAAAAAATAAACACCGGAACAAAGCAATTCATTAAAGAAAACAGAATGAAAGAGAAAGAGTTAAATGAAATTCAACATTCCTTAATATTTCATCTCTTGTTTTCATATTCTTCCGGCCATTAATTAATCACACACTTTGCTTACTTGTTTGTTTTTTTCTTCTGTTTTTTATCATCATCATCATCCAACAAATGACCATGGAATGTACACATGTTTTTCGTTGTATTTTCTTCCACAACGTAATGAAAAAAAAACATCTTCGTTTGATTTATTAATCACTAATACACACGCACGCACACACACACACACATGAAGTTGTACAATTTAGATAGCCTTAGGTGACGAAATGATGTTTAACAAAAGAAAATATTTGCAAACAAAACAAAAAAATTCCAAATGGAATTTTCTATTCACATTCCAAATGTACAATAATAATGCGATTTATATTTATTTATGTTTGCAATTGATGATAATTGGCGGAAACACATTCATTCATTCATTCAATCAGATATCTTTTGATCAATATTTATTCATAATTCATGATTATTATTCATATTTTTAAAATTTATTCTTTTTTTCTCTCTTTTACAGAAATTTTTGTAAGTTCAAACAGACGACAACAACAACAACAACAACGACGACGATAATGATGATGATTATGGTGATTGTAGCTACCTGTTTTTTTGAATAGAATCTTGTCTTGTGGCCATATATATATAAATGTGTGTTTGCGTGTTTGTTTGTATGATTATCAATCGTTTAATGGATGCGTTTCATCGTATCAAAATTTCAGATTCATCATCATTCAATCCTATCCTATCCTATCCAACCAATTCATTTCATCATCAATGAAATTATTGAAATAACAACAACGTTATAAACATATGATGATAATAATGATCATCATCACCAGGAAAAAAAAAGACAACAAGTAGTTGTTGAATATGTGGATGTGTGTATGTATGTTTTTTTTCCTATTTAGTTTTTAGTGTTTAGTGTTAGGCTGCTTTATATTATTATTACAGCAGTGATGTTTGGTGTTTGATTCGGTTCATTTCGATTGAGCAAAAGAGAGAATATTGGTAATATGAAAGGCTACATGGAAACTTACCGTTGTATGAAGAAGGGATCTCATTACTCAGAGGGAGATAGTGCAGATTAAAGAGAGTGATGATAGTTTTGTGTATTTCTATTGTTATGTAAAACGTAACGGTTCATGGGTCCAACGTTTCCGTAATAAGAATCCAAGTTTATCTGAAGCGTGGTCAAAATAACGATTAATGGTCAAACGGTAACATTCTTAGCAAAACTAAAGCGATGAATTGAATGAAATTCTTGTCATCAAAATGTTCAATTTAATTCACAATGAATCTTCATGGGGATTTAACATCAATGGTCGAAACACTTGGGATTGAACAACTTGTAAAAAATAATTTTCTGCATTCAATTTATTTTTATATTGTTACTATTGTTATTGTAATAATAACAATATTTTGTTTATTATATGTTGTGTTCAACTTGCTTTACGCATCAAAATTATCGACGTGGCTGTGGATCTCTTTTTACAGAAATTTTTGTATGTTCAAACAGACGACGACAACAACAACAACAACAACAACGACGATTATGGTGATTGTAGCTACCTGTGTTTTTTTTGAATAGAATCTTTTCTTGTGGCCATATATATATATATAAATGTGTGTTTGCGTGTTTGTTTGTATGATTATCAATCGTTTAATGGATGCGTTTCAAAATTTCAGATTCATCATCATTCAATCCTATCCTATCCTATCCTATCCAACCAATTCATTTCATCATCAATGAAATTATTGAAATAACAACAACGTTATAAACATATGATGATAATAATGATCATCATCACCAGGAAAAAAAAAGACAACAAGTAGTTGTTGAATATGTCGATGTGTGTATGTTTTTTTTCCTATTTAGTTTTTAGTGTTTAGGTTAGGCTGCTTTATATTATTATTACAGCAGTGATGTTTGGTGTTTGATTCGGTTCATCATCATCATCATCATCATCATCAGCAGCAATACTCACAAACACACACGAACAATAAATGAATCATCGACATTGAAAAAAAAGTGTCCATTAAGCACGATTATCATCAATTTTTTTTTTCGTTTCTTCGATGTGTTTGTCTTGTGTGTGTGTGAATGAATGCAAAAAAAAGAGGCCGCTATTTTTTTCTGGAATTATTTTTTTTCCACCATCATGATTCAAGCATCATGTATATCATATCACTGAATTATGTGTGTTTGTTCTTGTGTGAAAGTGTAAGACGGCAACGAATAAAAAAAAAACATTGATTAATCTTGTCTTTATATGTGTCTGTCCTGATTTTATTTTTTTTTCTGATTTCATTGATATATCATCCAAGTCGGCATATAAAGTGTTTGGATATATGTGTGTATGATTCATTCATATCCATGACATGATGTTGATGATATGATGATGATGATGATGATTTCATCTAGTCCATCCATCCAATTTTATTCAATTCGATCAATGACCAGGAATTGAATCTCATCACCACTAATCATCATCATTTTGTGAACATTTTGGTTGCCTCATTATTGAACTGGAACCAAAATCTAATAATATTTTGGTTTTGCATAATTTTTCTTTTGTTTTTCTCACACACACACACACACACACAACATAACATAACATAAATGGTAAATCATCATCATCATTCATTCATTCTTACTTCTGTATATGATATGATATGATTATTATCAATTTATACTGATTATCATCAATTGAATTTGATGATGACACAATAATATATGATCTTACATATTATTTTTCCATATTAAGATCTATTGAAAATAATCATCATCATCATCATCATCATCATTACACAGCATACAAACAACATACAGCAACAGACACAAAAGATTAGCGATAGATTTTTTTTTTTGTCGGAAATTCCACTCAATCTTTCAGTATTGTTAAGTGTGTTGTTTTCAATGAAATCATATACATCCCATTCGCTTATTTCATCTTTCCTATTTTTTTTTTTTTTTGCTGGCAGTGGTTACATCCTCAACGATCCATATATACAAACACACAAACAAATGTGATATACGGTTAGACAAAAAAAATATCATATCGTATCGTATCGTATCAAATTAGACAAGAAACCAAAAATCACACACACACACATACACAGTTATTTAAACAGAAATAGATTAGATTTGTTTGTGGGAGACACACACATGCACATGCACACACACACACACACACAGTAACATTGATTAGTAATTGTTGTCATATATTGATGATGGAGAAAACAACAAAACGATGAATTTATAAAGAAACATAAAAAAATCCAATAGAAAAGTTATCCATAGTCACTAAGAATATACTGAAAGGCTGCCATTAGATTTTTATTATTATTTATTTATTAATTTATTTCGCCTGTTATTTGTCAGTTTTTGATCTCAAACTTTTTTTTTTTTTTTAGGATTAAATATGCACATCATCGATTCTGATCATCATCATCATCATCGTCATCATCATCACGTCAACAACAATAAATCATCATCATGTTTATTCTTGATTCTGGTGATATAAAGAATTATTTTTATTAAAGAATAATTTTCGTGTACGTGTTTTTTTTTGTTGTGTGTTCAATTTTTGATTTTCATCGTGATTGTGCATTGTGTGTATGTTTTATTTCAGTTGGGCCTGTTTTTTTTATAAATGTTTCTGGTGATGAAAATTTGTGTTTTATAATTTGTCAATGATGATGAACTTTTATTATTGAATCTTGACAACCAGAATATTATTTTTATATATATATATGAACAGCTCATCATCATTATACAAAATGGATATATTGCCAAGTGGTCATTTTTTCAAAGAATTACAAGCCATACATGATACAGGCTTTTTACCGGCACATTTATCATTGGAAGATAAATGGGAACAGGTAAGTTTTTTTTTCTTACACATATTTTTACTGGAATTGGATGGTAATATGTATGATAATAATAAGTAATGGCAATTAGCGTATTTGTTTGCAAACGATATAATCTCTGATGATTGCTTTGAAAATTGATTTTTCTTTCCATTTTTACATAATAATAATATAAATATATCACTGGACATAATTCTTTCCACTGCTGTTGTGTTTATCAGTACAATGCAATCATCATCATGTCCAAAAAAAAAAACTATACCCATGTGTCTATGTGTTGTGTATGTTTATTCACCTCATCTCCAAACGTAATGACCAGAAGAAGAAATTTTTTGTTTTCCTAGATAAACATTAACAAACAACAACAACAACAACAAGACATGACGATTTGATGATTGATCCGATTAGCTTATTCGATTCGATTCGATGTTTGTTTGTTTTTTTTTTTGTGTGTGTGTGTGTGTGTGTATGAACTGTCTCTCTGTATAAAAGTATTTTGGCCCCATAAAAATGATTTTTATTTTGATTATGATGATGATGATGATGGTGACGAAAACATTCATTTCAGACCACAATTAACAAGTGTATCATCATCATCATCAATCAGGGTTCAAAATATTGATGATTATTTTACCCTGATTTTCTGGTTTGTTTTTCCTATATCCTGTCTAATATACATTGATTGATTGATCTGAAGAATGATGATGATGATGATGATAATTTCTCTTTTGTTGTTATTTATCCTAGTGCTATTATGATCAATACACACGAACATTCAGATTTGAAATATTCACTTTCACTATTTTTGGCTATTTTTTTTTTGGTTTCGTTAAATCCATCCTTTTCATCGTCCATATCGATTATTTATATATATATTTTCTCTTGATTTACAATCCTTTTGATTATTTTGATTGTGTTTGATTGATTGATTGATCGATCGATCGATTGAATGGAAAATAATTCTCCTCATCCTCCTCTACCTACTTTGACTTGTCAAAATTTTTTTTTTGTTTTGTTTTGTTTGGATTCCATTGCCATTTACCATAGAAAGATGAGGGTCTTATCATCGTTTGATTTTTTTTTCTCTTTCTCTCTCTCTTTTTGGATTGCTGATTGTTTGTCGTTTGTTAATGTTGTTGTTTGTTGTAATGATATCAATCCTGCAATCACAGTCATCCATAGCAGCCTATCGGGTAGATCAAGTTCCTAAACCAAAAAAAAAAAAAAAAAAATGTCAAGTGATACGATTGTACACTTGACATTCTGCAGACAGAAAATGAAAAAAAAATTTCATTTCTATTTTCTCTGCCTATTTTGATGTTATTTTTTTCTTGTGTGTCAATTTCCGTTCCGTGTTCTGGTGATTTTTTTTCTCTTTTCATCATGTTCATCATCAATATAATATTGACTTTTTCATTCAAAATACAAATCATCATTCACTTGATGATTTCAATGTTTTGTATTGAGCCAAGTTTAGTTTATGACGATTATGATGATGATTCTCTCTCTCTTTCATTTGATTATCATTTTTTATTTTATTTCATACACCACATATATATACAGTTTATGTGTATTTTGTGATTATATTTGTTGTTGTCGTTGATATAATTCATGGAAAAAAAAATTATATTTGACGCTGCTGCTGCCATGTTAAGATATTGGTTTAGTTCGTAATCGAATGTGCGTGTGTATTACACACACATTTTGGTTTTGAGGATTATTTGGCCCGACTGCAACTTGAAGGAGGGATAACGATTTTTTTTTTTTTTTTTGTTTATCCGATATCGTATCCGATGAGTGAAATACAATTTTTCTTTTTCTGTTGTTGCTTACAAGAAAAAAAAAATTTTTTTTTTCAAATCAAACAAACAGTTTTCAATGAGTTTTTGTTTTCATATATATAGTTTAATATATATAATCCTTGATAAAATGGATCATAAAAATTTTTGTCTTTTTTTTTATTTTTGTTTTCATTTGTTTTGTGTGTGTGTATGTATGTGATACCTATGTGTTTGTCTATATTTATATATTAGTAATGTAAACGACAAGAAAAAGTGATAAAAGTAAAGGAAAATTAAATATATATGAAAAAAATATGATAAGATGTCATACTCGTTATCGTTATCGTTTCTCTTGTTTGTGTGTGTATGTGTTATTATTATAATCATTGTGATGTCATTTTTATAACATCCAAGTTATGTTAAATTTTATTTTTTCTTTGTGGTAAAAAAAAAAAATATGAAACAAAAAAAGAATTTTCGTTTTTTGGGTAGTTTTTGCGTACCGAATGGATTTTTTTTTTTTTGAATTCAAATTTTAAATTATCTTTCTCTCTCTCTCGACAAATGCTCAAGGCAGCAATTGTTTTGTAAGACAGCGTGTTGTTGTTGTTGTTGTTGTTGTTTGGAGCCAAACTTATTTATTTTCTTTCTTTATTTTATGGAATGTTTGCATTATTGGAATTTTTTTTTTTTTTTTTTGATAATAAATGGATGATATTGACATTTATTTTAATGGTAAATATACCGATGATGATTATTGCCCCTTTGCAATACAAAGTGTGTGTGTGTGTGTATATGGCATATAGCACGCGGCATTTATTATTAGACATGTTGTAGAGTGTAGAAGAGGGTTATGTATTGTAAATTTTCAATTTGCCAATGTTTTTTTTTGTCTCTATTGAGGCAAAAAAAAATTTTATGATGATCCCCATTGATGATCTAACACAGTAAATCTATTGATCACATGATCGTCAATGTGTGATGATCGAACTTCGTGTAAATCTGTCTGCAGGCCATCATGGTTTTTTTTGTTTGATTAAGTTTGGCCAAAAAGAAGAATAAGTAGCAAAAAAAATGGAAAACTTTTTCAATTGTCAAACACGAAAAACGAAAAAAAAATGATTATTGAATCAGGAAAAAAAATGTTTCCGACAAGAAATTAATAATATTCTTGTTTGAATGTCGGCCATTCATTCATTTTTTCTTTTGGTAAACATAATACAATGTATATATAAGTGTATGTGACACGTGTTTCAAATTTTTTTTCTGTTGCTGCTGTTGTTGTTGTTGTTGTTGTCAACAACAACAACAACAAATGTGAATGAAAGAAAAATTCCAGGGAATAATTTATCCATCAAATCCATATGGTCCCTAAGATTTTTTTTGTTCACCATTCACCATGTTTCATTTCGGTTATTATTATTATTCTAATTGTCGGTCTCAACTTTTTTTTTCGCCGCACACAGATGTTGTAATTTTAATGGTGTTGAATGGTGAATGGTGAATGGTGGTGGTGGTGGTGGTGGGTGATGGTGGTGGTTGAATTAAGAATATTGCAACATGTTTGCAATTTGTAATTCGATGTACGAAAAAAAACTAATCATAAATGATTCATCCATACTCCAATCATTACTCATACATTGATTTGAATTCATCATTATTCTACAGTTTTGTTTTTTTGCAACAACCGATAAATTTCTTCAATTTTTTTTATTTATAAAACATCAATTATAATGATGATGTGAATGATGTTCAACATCATCGCCACGGCCACCATCATCACCACCACCACCACCTACAACCCCTTGTTGTTTCGAACCTCTTATTATCATTATTATAACGATGATGATGATGATGATGATGACAATGAGGGCATATATAATTAGCCTTTAATGTTGCTGTTGTTGTTGTTGTTGTTGTTGTTGATGTTTTGTTTCCAATATCATTCATGTATTTTTTTTTCAATATACCCACTATATCTTGAAGATTTATTTTTTTTTTTATTTCGAACGATATAATAAGAATAATAATAATAGTCGCTGTCATCATCATTATTGACCGAAAAGATATTCATGTCTTTTTTTTCTGGCCAATAAAATTGAACATACACACACACACACACACACATAGACTATGTCTATTGTCTATTTTAAATTGTGTGTGTGTGTGTGTATAGTGTCTTTATATCAAATGATGATGATGATGATGTGGCCATGATGATTATTATGATGAATTCATGCACATCGTGCATCATCATTAGTAGTATGTTGCTGTTTTTTTTTTTTTTTTTTTTTGATAGAATGTTGGTATATAATGGATGCTGCATGATGATGATGATGATGATGGATCCACAGACACTGGTTGAATTGAATTGAGTTTGGTCGGATGGTTGGTTGGTTGGTTGGTGGCTCCATTCACGTAACAATAATCATCATCATCATCATACATATAGAATTCAAAGGAAAAAATGGGAAGAGAGAAACTTTTTCACGACGATGATGATGATGATGCGGTCGGTTGCCCTTCAAAATGAAAGTAATGTTTTCTTTTCACTTCTTTCATTCATTCTTTCACATTTGATTTCATGCTTCATACACACACACACACACACACACACTATTAGTTTTTTGTTTTGTTTTGTATTTTTTTCCAGCTATTGTTATGCAAAAAAGGGAGAAAAATCTTTCAAATCCTAGTCGTTGGTTGATTCAGATAAATGTCGATAGAATTTATTAGATCCTACATTTATCTTCTACAATGTGACTCATCATCATCATCCTAATCTATCGATTCTAATGTCCATTCAATTTGGTTTGACTTTGATGTTGATGATGATGATGGTGGTGGTGGTGGTGATGGTAGTTGATGCATTCCATTCAATCATGGTCATCCATGACCATCGTGGTTTCAAATACAAAGTGAAAAAAAAACTTTATTGGCGCCTGAAGGCGTCATTTATTTCATTCATTCACATTCACTTCTTGTTGTATATTTTTTTTCTCTCCATCTTGTTTTTTCACATTGACTATAGTGGTAGTGTGTAGATCTATCATCATCATCATCAACCATACGTTTGTAATTTCAATTCTTCATTCTTCACTTTCGCCTACCGGATACCTTTGTTGTTATTGTGAACCATTCGCAATAATTTCGTCGCTACTACTTGTTGTGTATGATGTGTGCTTCAATTTTGTTTTCAAATTTTTTTTTTGTTTTGTTTTGTTTTCAATA